GCTTCCGTCCTAGACGTAGGTCACCCACCCTGAGCTGTGGCCCATGGACCGCGGGCTCTCGGGCTGTGTCCACACCGCACACACTCTGCCGTGGGTCCTCCCTATCTATCTACTCAGCCTTCTGAGGGTGTCCCTGGCTGCGGTTCCCTGCCACTGTGTCCATGCTGCCCAACAGCAGGGCCCCTTCCCTCATGGCTCCAGGATGGACCCCTGCTCTGGCCCAGGTGGAGCCTCTCTCTGGGAGACCAGAGCTGGGCTGGGCTGTCCCCCGGACAAGGGCATGCGGACCCCATGCTGGTGGGACGGCCATGTCCACAGGGAGGGGGCAAGGCCTGGCTGCTGAGAAAGACGGAAGGGACCCCACCAGGAGAGGGAGGAGAGACAGCAGGGCTTCAGGGCCCCCGACCCCCGTCCAGGGCAGCTCGGCTTCGTGCTGACTGCCGTGTTCCCAAGGATCCAGGACCTGCAGGAGCTGGCTTGGCACCTCCTGTCACCTGCAACTTCGGGTTGGTCAGAACCTTGCTCCAGACGCCCCCACGGGCAGGGCCCGCACTGCCCCAGAGAGTCCTGTCCACTGTGAGCTGTGGAGGCCAGGTGCGCCCTCCAGCAGGTGATGAGAGCCAGTGGCCCACATGATTGGCACCTGTCACTGCGGAATCGTCAGTCTTTTCTGTCTTCCCAGAGACTTCTTCTAGGCCATACCCACTGCAAACGGCACCCCCACGTCTCTCTCTCTGACTCGGATGATGAGCGGTCGTTGATGCCCACTTGAGGCCTGGTGACCCTCTGCCACCCTTGGAAGGGTGCGGCAGGGACAGATGAGCACTGGAACTCCTGGCCTTGGCTCTCGACATCCAGTTCAAGAGCCTCCAGTAAAAATAACTTGCCTAGCGAGGCCCTGGGTTCGCGCCTCAGCTCCGCATAGGAATAAGTCAGTAAAATAAAGATGTTAAAAAAAATAAATGACTGGTGGATAAGAACTTGGTGTGGGGCCCAGAGCCGTGGACCTCACGGGGACCTCACGGGGACCTCACGGGGATGACAGGGAGCAGCAGCGAGGCCCGGTCCTCACACTGAATGCCAGCGCCCAGGACGGCTGTCCCCGCCACCGCTCTGCATATGTGCCTGGTCCTGCCACCAGCCTGCAGGGCTCTGAGGGCGAGTGGCTGGGGCTGGGCCCTGGTGGGACGTCCCTCCCAGGACCACATGTGACCTGTTCCACATTGATGTCGTTGTGACCGAGGAGCGTCCCTTTGTCTCAGCCTCTCTGTGATCCACTGCTTGCCTGGGTGGTGAACGGGATCCTGCTGGGATTTCCAAGGACATCTGTGGCCCGTTCCTGCCTGGAGGACACTCGGATGCACCGTGTCCCTTCTCACCAGGGACGTCCCGGGATGAGAGCATTTGCCCAGGATGTGCCATTTAATTCCGGAAAGTCCACTCTGAGATTGCAAAACGATGGGAAAGTTCATCAAGCGAAACCTCCCTCCTCTTACTCCGCTGGCCCGTTTAAAAATGATATCGACTGGGACTCGCCCCGAGTCGACCGCGTCCCAGTTCTTCTCTGTTTGTTACCCGTTGAATGCTTTAAGGGAGAGAAGAGAAATGCCCCTGTTACCACCGGCATTCTGCAGATGGGGTGCTGAACAGAGAGAGGGTAAGTGGTCTGCTCAAAGCCAACAGCTTGGGAGTGGAGTTGCCTGGATGTGAACCAAGCCTGACTGGTCCCTGACCATGGCACCAACAAGCAAAGAAAGGACTCAGTCAGTCAGCCCCTGGGGTGGTCAGCCTGGGAAACAACTGTAGCTCAGAGAGGTCAGGTGATTTCAGCAAACACACACAGCAGGGGCAACGGAAGTCAGGATTCAAGCTTGCTTGTCTAGATGCAAAGATGGCGCCTTGTTCTGCTGGGTGATCCCGCCAAGCTCCCTCCCTCGCCGAGCTCCCTAAGGAGGCCAGGTGGTTTTATTGAGTGTTATAAGTTGTGAAACAGGTCGGCAGATCCTCTGATTTCCATGGGCACAGAAATATGGTCTGTGCTCCCTCCCCTGACCCTGGGCGAGCTCTGTGTCCGGGCAGTGGAGTAGGACAGACCCAGACCCTCGTTCACAGGAGACCAGGTACCTCCTGCCGGGGAGCCAGTCACTTCACCACAGTCTCCCCACTGGACCCTGCCAGGCAGGAAAGGCCACCTGGGGGCCCTGCAGCCACCGTCCCCCATCAAATGCCAGCCCTGTCGGGGAACCAGCCTGGGCATCCACACAGGGGAGCCTTCAGGTGTCCACAGCCCTGGCCGTTGCCTGACTGGCCCACGCAAGGGGCCCCTACGTAGAGCACCTGTTGCACATTCCCGACCTGCACAATCCCAGGCAAAAAAGAATAGTTGTTTAAAGTCCTACATTTTGGGACAATTTGTTACACAACAATACTAACTATAACGTCACATCCATCCGAGAAATTCATTTCTACTTTATACTAATACAGTGAAATAGCCCAGAAAATCCAATGTGTCCCCTGTACTGCAGCAGACCCACGCCCCCACCCCCAAGGTCACAGTCTCAGGCTGCTGTAAATAAAGCACCCACACCACAGGAACGTGCTTCCCACAGTCGGAGGCTGGAAGTCCAGGTCTAGGCACCAGCAGAGCCAGTGTCTGCTGAGGGTCTCTGTGTCACCCATGGTGGGAGGGTCCCGAAGCTCACTGGTTCTCTTCATAGGGACACCGATGCTGTTTCAGAGCCACAGACCCCGTCACCTCCTGCACCACCACCTACTGTCCTCCCATTGGCAGTGGGTCTCAACACGGGACATCCGGCCAGACCCTGGGGCCTGGCGCCCGACTGCCTGAGCTGGGGTCTCGGCCGGACCAGTGAAGAGCCACACTCCTGCACTTCCCAAGCACCTGGCGCCCGGCAGGCAGTGCTCAGTGGTGGGCATGGCTAGGCCCTGGGGGCTCAGCAGGGAGGACAAGAAGACCTCAGTCAGAAAGGAGGCAGGGAGGTCTGGAAGATTCTGCAGCTGGGGCAGCTCGGCCAGGGGGTGACAGGCTTGGAGAACAGCGTTCCCTGCGGGCAACTCTGCCCTCGGTGTCTCTGGTGTCCCCAGGTCATCCTGGGCCAGCAAGGAGTCAGCAAGTTTTCCATCAAAAGCATCTGTCAGGAGGTGGAGGTGGCAGAGCAGAATAGTGGACACTTCATTGTTAACCCCCGACCCCCACCCAAATGTCTCCCATGAAAAATCTGATCCTTTGTAACTTCCCTGCCCCGTGTTGTGGGAGCCTGGAGCAATGGTGCAGTTTATTTCACCCCCTGTACACCGGGCTTACAGGCCACAGGCACTGGCAGCTGAGTGGGCAAATGCAGGGGTTCAAATCCTAGTGTCCCCACTTTGGAGCTCTGTGACTTTGGGAAAGAGATTTGCATTCTCTGTGCCCAGTTTCTTTATTGGAAAAATGGGAGCTGGGCACAGTGGCACACACTTGTAATCCCACCTACTCAGGAGGCTGAGGCAGGAGGATCACAAGTTCAAAGCCAGCCTGGGCAACTTAGTGAGACCCTGTCTCAAAGGAAGGGGACCCCAAAATGTGGGGCTGCTAATAATGGCACATGTATCGGGGGGCTGGGTCTTGGGAGAGACAAGGGGTGCCTGCTGGCATATTCTCCTCCCCCTTGGGTTTGCAAACAAGGGCTGCAGCCCTGGGGAGGACTGCTCACTGCTGCCCACTCTGGCTCGGGTGACGAGCCCAACAGATACCTCCCAGTGTCAGATGAGTGTGTTGATCTGAGAGGAGGAAGAACAGCAAAGGAAATGAGAAAAGAAAAAGGGAATGGAAAGAGAGACAACAGAGGACCAGGTCTGCAGACAAGCTGCATCCCGTCTCCAGCAAGGGCTCCTGTCTTGGGTCTGTGTCAGGAGCGTGGTCCTCTGACGTCCTTCCCCACGGCCCCCTCTTGTTCCCCCTCATGCTCTGAGACCCCAGCAGGGGCCTTCTGGGCTGCTCATGGCTGCATAGCACAGGGCCAGCACAGGGCCAGCACAGGCCGCGGTGGGTACTGAGGAAGGGTGAGCTGGCTCCGGGGTCTTCATGCAACTTCAGCAAGGTGGAAGGCCGCCCGGGTCCTGGGCCTGCGCCAGCACCGCAGTTTACACATCAGGTCCACTTTTACCTGACCAAGAGGGCAGCAGGCAGGTCCTCAGCTCTTCTCGCCTCAGTTTCTTCACCTGCCCGCAAAGGACCCGGAGTTACGTGTTCCCAAGGCGCCTCCGACTCTCAGTTGACCTGGGGCTACCCCGGCACAGGTGGGTGTCCTAGGGTTCCACCTGTTCCCGCTCCCTTCCCAGCCGCAGGCCCTCTCTCCAGTCTGCTACTTGACCTGTGGAAGGGGGCGTGTCCAGCTCACTGGACTCCTGTGAGCAGGTGTTAGGGGAGAGTGAAGCGGCAGCCAGGGCCCTCCATCGTGTCCCCTCCACCACATCCCCCAGTGTCCACTGGAGCCGCGGATTTCTACGACGTGCAGAAGGTGGGCATGAACTCAGCGCCGGTGTGCTCCGGACTTGTGCGCAGAGCTCACGCCCCTGCGGATTTCCTTTGCGACAGTGCTGGGAGGTCTCCTCCCTAACCCCGTTCTCCACTTGAGCTGCACAGAGCTGGGATTTATTAAACTGCAACCCCCTGGCGGAAAGTGCTTGCCACTGCGCCGGGCGCGTAGTAAGCGCTCAATGAAAACGACTTTTATGGTCCCGGTGCGGAAACTGCGCGCGTTCTCCTCTTACGCCGGCTCTGCAAGCTGGCTGCCGGCCCGCGCCCACCCGGGCCCCCGCGCCGCCTTCCGCCCGCGGAGCCCGCTGGGCGGGGGAGGGGGAAGGACGGGGGGGGGGCGGGGGGCGGGGCCGGACTGAGCAGCCCAATCGGCGTCGCCAGTCACCGGGGGGGCGTGGCCTCTGGGCTCGCCGACAGCCTTCAAAAGGCGGCGCGCTGGCAGCTGCACCCGCTCGCCGCTCGGCCAGTGCGGAGTTCCCGACCCGCTGCCTGCCCACTGAGCTCTCTGCGCCCGCGCTGCCCGCTGGACGAGGAGACGCCAGTGCGGTGCTGATTGGAGGCCTGCGGAGGTAAGTGTCACTTAGATCCTCTCCTTTTGCAAGCTGCGGTCTGCTCTCCCTGATGTCGGGGCAGCTCTGTGTGCATCTCAGAGCCTTGTTTTGAGGCATGCCCTTTTACAGCGAAGGAACAGGCCAACGACTAAGCCACTTGCCCAGGGCTCACAGCTAGGAAGCTGAGGGGCCAGGACTCGGTCTGTCTGGTCTCAGATCCCTGCTCCCGGGAGACTGGATGCTCTTCTGCCTTCCTGGTGCAGTTCGCTACCATTTGTGGCCTCTGGTGTTGGGGATGGGTGTCATTGACGTGGATGTGGCAAGCATTGGAAAGTGTTCCACCCACGTGTGGAGGGTGGGTGATTGGCAGGTGCCTTCTACCTGACAGTTTTCAGGGCCACGCCTCTTTGTAGTCTCATTTGCAGCAAACCTGAAAAGTGGCCTTCTTCCCATATTTCAGATGAAGACACTGAAGGTCAGAGAGGTGAACTGAGTTGTCCAGGCAGAGCCAGAGCTGGAAGCCAGCACTCTCTGCTCCACAGCTTCGGGCGGGTGTGTCCAGGTGTGAGGCAATCTCAGGGAACACATTTCTGGATCTCTAGCTGGAGTAGGCATCTGCGTAACTCCTTGCGTGGGGAGAAGTGGTCGGGTGGCTGTAGGGTCCTGGGAGTCGGCTGCCACACAGGGAGAGCCAGGACCAGCCCCTTGTGTGGTACAGACCCAGACCCTTCCTTGCCAAGGGCTGGCTGGTGAAGGAGCGCGGAAGGGCTTGGCCAGGGGTACTCACTGCAGTCCAGCTGGACTGGGCATCTTTCAACCAAAAGCTGAGCTGCTGGTCTGACTGAGAAAGCCTTGGGGCTGTGGGCATGCCCAGCCCGCTCAGCACCTGGAGTGGACTGGGAATTTCCACTCTGAGACTTTGGCCTCCTTGCTCTGGTGGGACGGGGTGGGCCTGTCTTCTGTCTAGGATCTGGAGTCTGACATCCTACAGAGCAAGACCAGGGACGTGCCCCCAGCCCAGATCACCTGAGAGGGATGTCCCAGGGGTCTTTATGTTGTGTGAACCGGTTCTGCTTCTGCCTGGCCTAGCTGTTTGCACGTGGGGAAGGGGCAGGAGGTGTGGGCTGTGTTGCTGAGGAGCCGGGCGAGGCCCCATCCACACACTCTGCCCACATGAGCAACCCTGCCCACACACCTGGGCAGTGGGCTTCTTGGTCCCCACCTCCCAACTGAGGAATCAAAGAGTCAGCGAAGTGAAGTGTTTGCCCAGGAGACCCAGCTGGGTGTGATGGATCTGGCTTGAGACCCTGCACACCGGACCTGGGTTCTACCTCCTTTCCTTTGTGGGTCTAGGGATGGAACCAGGGCCTTGCACATGCCAGGCAAGTGCTCTGCCGCTGAGCTGCCCCCCAGTCCTGGGTCCCGCCTCTTTAAGACCCTTCTCTGCCTCACTGCTAACTCCGCCTCTGAGCCTGACCTTCCCACAGGTGTTTTGTCTGAAAGGGGCGCCAGGTAAAGAGCTGGATGGGGTGCCCAGGGAGGAGACAGGAAGGGAGAGAGTCTGATTTTCAGAATCCCCTCAGGGGTAAGAGTAGGGGTCGTGACAGCCACGTTTATAATCAGTGCTGGCAGCTGGCACTGTCCTGGCTCTTACGTGGACCAGACGGCCAGGTTTCCAGGAATGATCTCGCCGGCTGCCCTGTGAGGGGGGAGCACACTGAGGCTCAGGATGAATCGGGCGGGGCGGGGGAGAGCGGCCCTCCCGGCTGGGCCCTGCCCAGGTGCTGGAGGAAGGGGCCACTTGGCTGCCGTAGCAGAGCCTGCCAGGAGACCAGGCTTCTGGTGCCAGATGGGTCCTCTGTGTTGCCGGGGCTCTGGGTCCCTGGCGCGGGTTCGGGCGGGGCAGGAAGGGCTCCGCTGACACGGGGCTTGGGCTCAGCTCTGCCAGCAGGCATGGTTCTGCCCGCTGAGAGCCCTGCCCGGGACCTGGACCAATACTGTCTCCCAGAGTCCTGCCACGGGGCTGGAGACGAGAGTTGGCACCCCAGCCAGGTCTGGAGCTGGGCAAGAAGAGCGTAAGGCCCCGGAGAGCCCCTGCACGTCACCCCTTGCCATCCCAGAGGGGATATCCGGCCCTGTGTGGGTTGCACCTGGAATGTTTTAGAGGTGGGACCCCCAGTGCCGACCTCCTTGGCCTGAGGGGGCTGGAACGTCCCTCTTCTCTGTCACCAGCGTAATCTGCTGTGTGGGGAGGTGCCGCCGTGTCTGCTGCTCCCAGCTCAGGAGGCTTTTTTTTGCAAACTCACTGGTTTTTGATCAGTCGCAGATGTGCAGACCCAGCATCAGTCAGGGGCTGAGGGCTTGTCAAGAAGGGAACACACAAGGCAGGCGTGACTTTATGTCACTCCACTGAACTCAGGAGATGCTCGGACTTCCACGGGCCGCAGACCCGGAGCACTTTCCAAGTCCCAGGGAGCATGCTCTCCCCCAGAGCAGGCAGGGTCAGGCACACCGGGGGCTTTGGCAGGACCAGCCGTATATTTCTCTTTTTTCTTGAAAAATATTTTATTACCGTGAAATACACAAAAGCAGACAGGCATGGTGCTTCACACCTGTAATCCCAGCTACTCTGGAGGCTGAGGCACGAGGATCCCAAGTTCGAGGTCAGCCTCAGCAACTTAGTGAGACCCTGTCTCAAAATAAAATTTTGAAAAAGAGCTTGGGGGACTGGGGCTGTGGCTCAGTGGTAGAGCGCTCGCCTAGCGTGCATGAGGCACTGGTTTCCATCCTCAGCAGCACATAAAGAAATAAATAAACAAAATAAAGGTATAAAGTAAATTTTTAAAAAAGAGCTGGGGATGTGGCTCAGAGGTAGAGCACCCCTAGGTTCAACCCCCAGCACCACCACCAACAAACCCACATGAACACGCAACTTCCCCTTTTAACCCCTTGAGCTGTGCCATCGGTGGCTTTCACCGATGTGCAGTGCTGTGTGACCCTACTGCTGTCTAATTCCAGGGCATTTTCGTCATCCCATCAGGGACCCTGTGCTGTGAGCAGCCCTCCCCAGCCCCTCCCCCAGCCCCTCCCCCAGCCCAGGCAGCCCCTGTCCGCCTCTGTCTCGGTGGCTGGTTCTGGACACTTCCCATAGGTGGGACCACGTGCTGGGGTGTGGCCGGCTGTGTGTGGACAGCTGTTCCCTCGGCACAGTGTTCTCCAGGTCCATCCCCCTTACAGTTTATATATCACAACATCATTCCTTTTTTGTGGCTGAAAATGTTCCACCGAATGGCTGGTGCACATCTGTGTGTCCCCACCTCCACTGATGGCAACCCAGGCTTTCCCCAGCTTGATGACACGGGCAGTTCCACCGTGGGCACATGTCTTCACTGCTCCTGCGTCTACACCTCGGAGTGGACTTGCTGGGCCACATGGGACTTGCTGACCTCACTGAGGAACCCCGGTCCTTTTCTGACTTCCTCCTTGAGGAAGCCCCCACCTGCTGGTCCCGTTCTGGTTCCTGGCCACCCGTGTGGGGAAAGCCCGGTGCTGGTGCGTGGGCAGGGCGGCTGTCCCACCTGGGTCCCGGCAGCCCCTGGCAGGGTCCTATCTGAGGTGTTGCTGGGGAGCGCAGCCTCGGTGCCAGGCTGGCAACTGCCAGCGCTCCTCGGCTGCCGCCCCCCCCGCCCTTTCAAGGCTGTGGGGACATCGTGGTCCAGCCAGAGGGAGATTTATCTTTGATTATCTCAAGTGCGGCATCAGCTTAGCCAAAAACCACAGGATCAGGAGAAGAGAGCCCTGATGAAGGATTTTGCAACTTCTGGCCCTTGTTTTTAAAATATGATAAATTATGAAATCCCACGTTTCCAGTCTGGGCTCTGGCCTGTCTCCCATCTTGCGTGCAGAGTGGCCGTGTTCCAGAAGGAAACAGAATCGCGCTCCCATTTTGCACATAGTCGAGGGGCCTGGAGCTGACCCTCCCCCAGTCCTTTTAGACAGGAAGGAGCCCGTGGGTTCTCTAGATTGGGAGCTGGTGGCCAGCTGACTTTGTGACTGACCTCTAAGAGCTCAGGGACTCCTAGAAGGAAGAGGTGGCGTTCTGCAGGCAGGGAGAGACCAGCGGGCGGGGGGGAGCTGGCAGGGTGCACCAGGTGGGGGGGCCTCATGGCCAAGGCCTGAGGTGGCACCACCCAGGGGGCAGCTCACACAGGAGAGTGACATGGGGGTGCTGCATTCGAGGACAGTTTGCTCTGGAATGAGCTAGTTCCACGAAGTCTGTGGGGGGGCTCCATCCCCAGGGAGGGGCCCGCAAGGTGACTGAGCATGTGCAGACCCGCAGCAAACCCCCGCACCCAGGGGCTGTTCTCTCTGTTCCGTGGACCCCTCCAGCTCACCGGGAGGCTTGCCTGGGGTGGGGCCATCTGTGCCTACGCCCTCCCAACCCTGACCCCCCTTTACAACCCAGAGCCTGGGCCCTCCTGGCGCCCAGCAGGGAGCAGGGCCTTGTCCTGGTTTTCTTGGGTTTGGCTCACTCCTTCCTCCCCTCAAGGCCGCAGGACGAGGTTCTCCACGAGTGGTGGGGGAGAAACTGACCTTTGTGAAGCAAATATTTTGGAACCTCAAAAGCAAACTGACTTAAAAAAAAATGCAAAACATTTGCTGGTACAGGTAGATGTTTGGGAGGGGAGAGAAGCTTGGGGTGGGGGCATGCAGGGTTGGGATCTGGGAACCTGGGATCAAGGTGGAGGAGGTCAGGGAGGAGACGGGCCGTGGCGGTCTGAGCAGTGCTTCTCCGAGTGGGGTTCCTGGACCCGCAGCAGCTGCACTCGAGAGAAATGCAAGTCGTGGGCCACCCAGGCCCTCTGAGCCAGGACCTGCGGGGCGGCTGGTGCTTCACGAGGCCCCCAGCACTCGGACAGGCTCAGGTGTGGGGCCCACGGTCCTGGAAAGCTGGCAAAGGAGAACCCTGGGCCCTGGCACAGAGGAGGGGTGTGGAGGGACTGGCTGGTCAGGGCAGG